CCTTGTAGAGACCTCCCTGGCTTGATAAGTTCATTACATGGGTTGTTTCTTGAAGGATAAATGCATACTGTGTTAGGTCTTTGCTATTTTCACTCATGGAGCATCTGTTGTAAGGCTTGAACTACGATTTCTTTATCCTTTTCTCTGACTCATCCGGACTTAGCATTATTCCCTGCTCACAGCCTGAAACGCTCATTTACCTGTCATATGGGCGGAAGCAGGCGCGTACCTCTCTTCCTCGCTGTGTCTCCCTCACAGCACGCATGCCTTGTCTTCTCTCCGTTCACTGTGAGTGGAATGTCCCTGCGTGACCAGGCCCTTCATGAATATCTTTCCCGTTCCTTCTCTCATTGTCATTGCTGTCCTGACTTGTCACCCATTCCTCCCTTCATCTAATCCCTCACTGACCTCACATGGCCCGCCAGCTGCTACTCTGTTTCTGTGGTCCCATTTCAGGAAAAACAAAACAAAACAAGAATTGCCTCAGAAATAGCCTGTCCTCCCTGCTTCCAAACCTCTCTTCCCATTTTCCTTTGAACCCATTTCAAGCTGGCTTCCATCCCCACCACTCCACTGAAACTACTTTGTCAATGTCCTCAAAGCTTTAAGGCCAAATTAACAGTGAAACCTCAAGCCTGGACTTGGAGTGCTTGACATAGCTGTTCACCCCATGGTCTCTGCATTTCTGGATCTTTCCCTTCAGCAAGGCCTTTGCCTTCTGTCTCCTTGATTGGCTTCTTGTGTCTCTGTCTTTCAGACACCGAGAGTCCTCAGAGGCAGAGCCTCCAACCTGCTTTTGTGTCTGCATTCACTCACTCACTGAGTGAGTCCCCTCTCACTGAGTGAGTCCCCTCTCACTGAGTGAGTCCCCTCTCACTGAGTGAGTCCCCTCTCACTGAGTGAGTCCCCTCTCACTGAGTGAGTCCCCTCTCACTGAGTGAGTGAGTCCCCAGCTCAGGCTTTAGTGTCACTCATACACGAGAGTCTCTCAGATCCAGGTGTGTTTACCTGGCTGCCTTGTTGGTATCTCCACCTGGGTTCTGTCTCAACAACATCAAATGTCACATCTAAAGCTGAATTCTCATCATCCCACCTGGGGTATTTCTGGTGTCGTGTTATTGCAAAATCAACTCCACTTCATAATAGCTCTGACCCAAGTCTTTAAAGTCATTCTTAGGACACATCTCTTTATACAATATTCAGCTCATCAGAAAAGTCTATAATATACATGTTTTGGATATTAGATTATTCGTGCCTGTAACTTTAACCTGCTAAGAAGCATCCATCAGTAACTATGCATGCCCAGTGCCCAGCCCTATTCTCGGTGTTTTCTTTGATCCCCGTAAGCTCCATAGAACCGTATGAGACATAATTATCATCTTTCTTAAAAGGCAGATAATTTGAGGCACAGAGTAACTTTTCAATGTCACCTGGTTAGTATATGAGAGTCCCACAATGGAGGCCTGGGCAGTCGTAGTACGTTTTCTTATACATTTGAGTAGTTACATAGTGTAGACGTTCCTAGTTGCCAAAAATCATTCTGTGTTAACCACGTTTGTGTACAAAGCCCTTTCCATGTTTGGAATAATTTCTTTAGCATATACTCTCAAAAATTCAAGTGCTCTAAGAGTAAAGGCCTTCTTCATTAGGTAGCATTATCAATAAACATTGGATCTTCAGAATCTGAAGTTACACACAGTTATTAAGAAACAGTTTTTGAGTAGAGAGTATCTCAGGGGGAACTTAAGTAAAGTCCACTTTTGATTTAGTCACAATTTATTTTGAACACTCATTCAACCTCGTGGGTTTTAGTTTCCACATGTGTTATATCAAGATAATTTCATGAAAATTTCCTCACGGGTGCATTAGTCATAACCCTCTTCCTATCAAATAAAGAAACTTTAATGTCACTCTCCTTCAAAAAAACATTTTTCTCCTTGAATCAAAAACTGCTCCATTCTATAAATTGTTTGATCCATTTTCTCTTTTATGATCACAAGGAAAATAAGGCATATTCTTAATGAGTTTGGCTGATTTTTAGGTCTACCTTTCTTATTCACCGTTGTGTCAAGATCCTAGAGACATGAGGGATGGATGATGTCAAGATATTGTCCGTGGTTGTATAGCAACGATGACCATGAGGATCATTTGCATATTGGTGGAGCATTACATCAAATTTATAGATTACTTTAGGTGGTATAGCCATGTTCACATATTAAATCTGCCAATCCAGGAGCATGGAAGGCCTTTTTATTCCTTCTTATTTCAGTGTCTTAATATTTTCATTACAGGTCTTTCGTTTCCTTGATTAAGTTTATTCATGGGTACTTTTTTGTGCTACTGTGAATAGGATATTTTTCTTAAGTTCTTTCTGAGCAAATCCATTGATTAGTGTGTGTGAAAGATTCTTGTTTTGTATGTTGATTTTGTAACCTGAAATGTTGCTAATTAGTAGTATCTGTGTTAGCAAGAGACCCTGCCTCAAAAAACAAGGTGTACCATGTCCTGGTGAATCACACCTGTTACTGACCTCTGAACTTCTCATACATGAATATACACATGCACACTGCACATAAGAACATGCATACACATGAACATACGTGCACACACATAAAAAATGTAAAAGTGATTTCCGGAAGTAGCAGATATTTTTCCTAATGTAGACAAAGATGCAGCATGGGCTATGGTACACAGCCCTCCCCTTTTTATTCAACAAACCTTACTGTATAGTGTGCAAGCTCTAATCTAAACAGCAAATTAAGTGCAGGTGCATTTTATGGACATTGGATGGTACAAGTTTGAAACCGCTGCTACAGAAAAATATTATGTGCCAATGCATAAAATTGCAACTTTTAAAATGTAACCATGTAAGATCCAAAGCTGATTGGACCAGTGAACTTCCAACCATGATCACTGATTGTCACCGTAGTCAGTGTGTTACACAGAACGGTGGGACACACATATTTTTTAAATATGTATGATCTTTATTATTTCTGTATGGTTTTAGCATCAGACTGTGTTTAAAGTTCAAAACATTCTTTCAATCATTTCCTCAGTGCCAGGTATAATTGGGATTCCTGCCCTCTGGACTTCCTGTAAACCTCTGCAATGGTTCAGTCCTCAAACTAAAAGCTAAGCCCAACCCATAGTCAGGGGACACACACTCTTATTTCTGTGCTCTGAAACGAACACACACAAGTCAAGGTTCCATGTGTTACCGTTTGCACAAAAATCTTATCCCAGATGTTACAGATGATAAAAGACTCCATCCCGTGACAACTGTGATCGATAATCCGCCATCTGATGATTTAAGAAAGAGCACACTCTAAGACACAGTGGAGAAAATGATAAGATATAGCAGCGGGACCAAGAAAACAAAAACCCGCAACAGCGTGCCTACTAACGCTTCCATTTCCGTGGAAACTAATATTTAATTGCAAGCAGATTGTGTGATGTGTTTGGGGGGGGCATCCATCACATAAGACGTACTTTCTCTTACTTTCAAAATTCTCATCTTTAAGCAGTGCTGGCCTCAACATTATGTACTGCTTGAAAAACAGTACATAAAACTGGAAGGCCCTGGGGACATTTCCAATCTAACACCATGTTTAGTGATCCCCAAAGGGAATGAGATTCTATGGTAAGCTTCCCAGAAGTCAGATCTGCTGTGTGTGTTAATAATTCTCTTCAGGACACAGTGAGCTGCATCGTGTTGTAAGGGTAATGCTGAGGCTACTTTTAGTCCAGGTTCTAACGAGTTTTGAGTTGTCACTAAGTCACCTTCATGGTGTCTTTACAGGGCTTGCCTTTATTCCACTGGTTCCACCAATGAGAAAAAGAGGACCAGATATTTTTACCACTGTTCAGAGGACTAACGGGCTCATCTACACAGAGCTTAGCAAACCCTGTGACCTCCATGTAGGCGACAGTCACACTTGCTGCCCCATACGCTGGGACCTTGATCCCGGGACAATATGAATGTCAGCTGGAAACACGCTCAGAGCGTCAGGACTCATTTTGAGCTTTACCATCTGTACAAATCATCAAGCTATCGGTTTTCACAAAGGAATTCACAAAGTTGGAGGCACACACAGATGTCAGAAGCTATTATTGGCTGTGTTTCCAACTGCACAATTGCAATCAGGATAATTCTGTCATTGTATTCAAACTCAGGGCTTCCAAATGTCTCAAATGGGCCCCACATCTGCCACTCAGTTGCAACACAATTGTGTTTCACTGAGAAATTTCAAAACACTGTGTTAGAAAAATGTATTTCTTTCTAAACCAGCAGTCTCCACTCTGGACTACTTTCAACAACACAGCTTGGTCGGAACGCCACAGGCAAGGCTACAAACCTTGAGTTTGCAGAAACGAGATCTTGCGTCATCTGTGCTTAGACTCAAATAATCTGACAAGGTCTGGTCTGGGTAAGCTGTTCAGTATGAACACCGCAGTGAGTGCAGGTAAGATTTGCGGATTTGGGGGTCTCAGAATTGCCAGGAGAACCTTCTTTCTTTGCATCTATTCCCCTCAAACATGAAAGGCTGGATTTTTCTGAGTGGTCTCAGTGAACTCTGTAACCTCTCCAATCATCATTTCCAAATATACCCGAATTCCCTATTCTTGTGCCATTCTCCAGACGTGTGTGAGCATAAAAACAAAAACTATATATTTCCACACTGTGCTTCCGCATTTTGGATCCCCTCCAGACACCATTCTGAATATGACACTCGGATGCAGGGCACTAAAAATGGTTCTTGCCTCAAAATAAAACCTTTAAAGATCCCTTAGTAGCTATTCAGGGACTGGAATTCAATTTCAGTCCTCCACCCTTTGGCCAGCTGTAGATTCAGAGTGCCTACATAAGATGCCAACAGTCCATACTTCTTCGCAAATTTGATTTTTCTTCTGTAATAAAATGCGAGTCACAGTCACCACAAGCTATATTTTTGCTTAGATAATATAAAAAGCAATGATGGACCTCATCAAGGGAGAAAAGGTTCTTTTAAATTTTTATTTTATAGGTAGCTTTAACATAAGCTTTGGGTACATCCACCTACTGCAGCGAGCATGTAAAAATCTAAGACTTCAAATTATAATTTCTATAGCCTAGACCATTATATCTCAAAGCATAACTTCTTACATCCTTTTATTATAAGTAGTTTGTGCACATAGATGTTATATCACAAAAGCAAAAAAAAAGAACAAAAAAAAAGAAAACATGTAAACTTTTACAAACTACATAAATACTATAGTACTGGTCTTGGAGTTATTCTTACGATAAGTCAGATTATACTCTAAATGACTTGCAAAGAAAACACTGGTCAGTAGCCTATGTGTGTGAAAAACACTGTTTGTTTTCAAATGATGTGCCTTCCATTGGTCTTCAAAGGAGAGAAATACAAGATCAAAATTCAGTCTGTAAGAAAGGTAAAGTATGCCGGCAGCTTTGGGTAGAATACTCAATTATGCAATTGCTGTGCACACTGAATCCAGAAAGCTTGCCAGTGGTATCCAGACAGACAAGACTGAGGCTCTAGTCACACTTACAGTCCACATTATTTGGAAGAGGTCCAGCCTGACTGCCAATACCATCTTTTACTCTGCGATACAGTTGCTGGTTTACAAGTGCTTTCCCTCTTCTTGTTAGAACACAAAGGTACTCTGTAGAGCCACTAGCATGGACTGGAAAGCCGAGGAGACCGTGAATCAAGCTCGCCATCACTGAGGGGACTCTTATTTTTTTTAAAGCTGAATTGTATAAGCAGAGGTGGGTGTACACCCACGCTGAGCACGCTCTTCACACCCCAGAAGAGCTTCTATAAGTCCACCTTTTCAGTGTTCTTTTCAATAAATGTTTTTCCTTGTGAAGTTCATGTGGTTATAAGCCAAGTTTACTTCAGAGCCTGTACCGGTTTTTCCCAGATTCCTACAGTCCATCTAGTTCCTGGCCAAGGTTTCTTTGGGGGGAAAACAAAGCCCACTGCTAAAGCATTTTGAACACTTTAAATGCACGCGGAAACAACTACGCAGAGTCTGGCAGCTACACAAGGAGGCTCAAGTACCGCTACTTATTTCTTTTGACCTAGACCCTTCAATGCTGTCTTTGAAAAGGCAAAGACAATGGCAGCGAGATGGAGGCGGCGGAGCCGGGAGCTGGAGGATGACTTGAGCCGTTCACAACCAGGAACCCACTGTTTCCGTCTCCCCTTTTTGTGAACTTTCACTAGATGGGGTACCTCATCTTCCTTGACAATGAAAACTTACAAAAAAAAAAAACCAACAACCCAGCAGCGATTCAGGGAGGCTTCAAACAACTCAGTCCGTGCCTCTAGACGAGCTTCGTTAGACAGGCTAGCATTCTCAACAGCTTTCCCCAGGGGAAGAGTGCGGAGGTGTCCTTGGTTTAGGAGGCATTTTTAGTGCACACAGGGCCCTGGCTGATGCTGTCCTCCAGGTACTGGCTGCCGGTGTCGCTCCTGCTGTGGATGGTGGAGGGGGCGCGGGAAGGGCGCCTCTCGGCGTTGCCGTCCTGCGAGGCACAGCAGATCATCTTCCTCATGGTGCTGTACATGTCCTCGTCCTTGTACGAGTAGATGATGGGGTTCATGACGGAGTTGAGCAGCGCCAGCAACAGGAACCAGCGCTTCACGTGCTGCACGTTGCATTGCTTGCAGTTCAGGCCATCCAGCAGCAGCGCCACTAGACCTGGGGTCCAGCACACCACGAAGGCACCTGCGGGGAGAGAGGAAGAAGCAAGAGCCGCTCAGATCTCTCGATGCCGCTTCAGGGTTTCTGTCCCAGGCATCAGGGTTTTCTCACCCACTTAGGGAACTTGCCCCCTTCAGACACGGTTAAAGTTGAGTGGCCCCTGGACCCCTTTTGGCCATGGGTGGTACTTCACCTCACTGGTCATCTGCTCACCCAGGTCTTGCTATTGATAAAAGCTAACCTTTGCCGGGCGGTGGTGGCGCATGCCTTTAATCCCAGCACTCGGGAGGCATAGGCAGGCGGATCTCTGTGAGTTCAAGGCCAGGCTGGACCAATAGCCTCCAAAACAATACAGAGAAACCCTGTCTCGTAAAAACAAACAAACAAAAAAAGCTAACCCTTATGCAGTAACTGTAAAGTGCTCTACACAGTGAGCCCCAGCAGTTTTCTGGGCCACATTAGAAGGCTGCTGCAGTTACTCACATTCCCCAGAGGGGAAACTGAGGCTCCATTCCTAGCATCTATGTGCGGGCCTCCAGCACTCATTCTGCTGTTCCCGACTTCAGACTTTCTAAACAATTTCTTGAAAATCCTAGCAATGACTAATGCTCTCCACACACAGCTCCCCCACCATGCCAAGTAACACCGTACAATGGGCTTTGTCAGGCGCAGGCAGCCATGGCTCCTAAGGCATTGTCTTTGGACTTTCATCAGGTCAAAAGCTCCATCCATCACAAATGCACAGCGGGCTTTGTAAGCAGTCTGTTGTCTACGGCATATTTGCAGGCTATTTACTGAATCGTTTGCTGTGATCTCCATTGCTTCTGTAAGGAGACATTCTTTCATGGTATGATAGCTAGAAATGTGCTTTGTAGAACATGCTGGAACATGGACACCATCCACTGGTAACTAGATCGCTCTGACCTTCCCTCTCAGCTCAGTTCCCTGTTCTGCTGGTTAGTTGGCATAGCCTGCTCTCAACAGGTTCCCTGTTCTGCTGGTTAGTTGGCATAGCCTCAGGCAACAGTCAGCAGTTTATACACTTGCTGTGTAGGAGCCAAACCTGGTAGGAGAAATGCTTTTCTTGGTTAACTCATGGGATCACGCTACGGGGTTGGCAGCTGAGAAGTTGTGCGCCTTGCCCATAACAAGTAGCTCTTAGGAGACCCCCGATTTTGAATGCATGCTCTCCTTCCATAGAGGAAGTGACCCATTTCCTTATCTCGATGTAGTTCTTTTCTCTCGGTGCCATTATGATACATTGCTTACAAGTCAGTAAATATTCCCCTCAAGCTCACAGTATGCTTGGGGTGGTACCAGACAATTCCAGGGAGCTGAAGCAAGTCTACAAAATCGTATCAACCACCAGTGAATCCGATTGGTTAGAACTGTCACTGAACAGTGTCCTTCTTGTTGCGCACATTAACTTGGCCATACGTGAGGATCATAACTGATGAGAAATTGTCCCCAGTACTGTGTCAGAGCCCCTGAACTGTGACTTTGCTTGGACCAGAATTGGCTGTGCAAGAGATAACAGAAGAGGTTAGGTCTCTGCTTTGTAACTGCACATTACCAAAATCTACTGTTTTCCCATGACCTGCTTGTTTCTGGTCTGACTAACTTGGGTGGGGGACTGAACGTGGGGTCAGAAAGAGCAGCTAGGTCCTCCTCACCTACTGCACAACTCCCAGGGATCTGCGCCATGGCTCAGAGACTGGGCTTCCTCAGCTGGAAATCAGGGACTTGAGGGCACATCTGGATTTTCCAACCGTGGCACAAATCCTTTGGTGGGTGTGTGTTCAGCTTAGTGAGTTTGGACCATTTTTACAAAGAGGGGGTATAAAATACGATGGAACAGCTCACAAGGTATATTACACAGAGGGAGGGAATTAGGGTTTTCTTGAAATTTTATATATTACGTATGGGTGTATTGGTAATGGGACTGTGTATCAACAGTTTAAAAAGATCCGGTATTTTTTGTTGTTGTTGTTGTTATTTTTTAGTGAGGTGTATTTGTGTGGGTATGTGCGTGTGAGGGAGGCCAGAGGCATCAGATCTCCAGAGCTGGACTCAGGTGGTTGTGAGCTGCCTGATGTGGGTGCTGGGAACTGAACTCGGGTCCCCTGGAAGAACGACTTGCAGTGTTAACCACGGATCCATTACTCTACACCCAGTGTGTTATTTCTTATTGCTGGGCTTGGTGAAAGTTTGAAAAGCTCAGGTTTGGACCATCTTTGAGGCCCTGCTCAGATCCAATGGTCCGTAGTTTCCACAACGGTAGAACTTTTATTCTTGTTGGTATTCTCAAAGAGGCCCGCAGGGTTGTCAAGATATAAGAGTCGAGCAAGCCAGGCATCAAAAGTGGAGATGGCTGACTTTGATGTGGAGAGCCTTTCTGTGTGAAATTGCCTAATTGCAAAGAAACCCCAGTGGGAATGTTCCAAAGTCCTTGGGAAGAAAGGGAAAACGTCTAACCGAGACTTTGTTAAGTACACAGCAAAATGTAGTAAACATGTAGCTTCCAGACCAATGGCAGGGGACCATGGAACTGAAAGGAAGGGAAAATATCTGGGTGTGAAAGGAGTTTCCAGTGTGTGTGTGTGTGTGTGTGTGTGTGTGTGTGTGTGTGTGTGTGTGTGTGTGTGTCAAGTCTTGAAGGCTTTATCCCCCACTCAGAACATTGATCTATATTGGTCAATCCAGTGACAACAATGACATAAATATTTCATATAAACCTTTAAGTTGGCAAGTTGGTGCCTCATCTGCCATCTCTCTCTCTCTCTCTCTCTCTCTCTCTCTCTCTCTCTCTCTCTCTCTCTCTCTCTCTCTCTCCCTCTCTCCCTCCTTTCCCCCCCTCTCTCAAACAGCTTATTCAATAATCATGTGACACTTTTACTGGACCTCAGTTATATGTCAGGTACTGTTTTAATAATTTTACGTGAATTAACCACTTAATTTCCAGAGCATTTCCTGGAAACAGGCACTACTACACTTTTCCCTTTATCCCTGAGGCCTGATGCCAGGTGATCTGCTCGAAGCACCTATCTGGTAACTGGTAATTCAAACCAGTGAGCCTTGTGTCTGCCCCTGTGCTAGGCTGGCTGCCTGACCAAAAAATAGGCCAGAAAGAGTCTTCCTTCTAAAGGGAAGGAGGGGGGAGCGGCATTTCTGGACTTTTCTAAAGGGAAGGAGGGGGGAGCGGCGTTTCTGGACTTTTACGGCTCCATTTGCAGTGTCGAGGAGCAGACCCTGGCTGCAGAGCAGCATCAAGTCCATTTGTGGCGTGCAGCAGGAAGGCTTCTCTGGCGGGAAAGGAAGAAAAGAGAACAGAGAGCAAAGGGGGAAGAGACGGGCGAGGAGGAGAAGAGGCAGACCGCGTAGATCTTCTGTTTATAAGGCTTCCAGTGAACAGTGCAAGGCAGGCTTCTTTGGAAGCGCAGGCTAAGCACAGGGTCCCATGGCTCACAGAGCAGGTGTTTCTGTTGCTGTGGTAAAGCACCACGACCAAACACAACGGGGGGGGGGGGCGGATTTATTTCATCTTACAGTTTACAGTCCCTTATGAAGGGAAGTCAGAGTGGGAACCCCGGATTTATTTCATCTTACAGTCTACAGTCCCTTATGAAGGGGAGTCAGGGTTGGAACCCAAGGCTAAGACCCTGGAGGCGGGAACGGAAGCCAAGGCCACGGGAGAGTGCGTCTTACGGGCTCCGTCCTCATGGCATGACCTGAAATAACACAGTGAGTGCCTGGTAAGACGACCTTTGGGTCATAATATGCCCAGACGATAGGTACCTGCATGAAGCTCTGCATATGCCTATCATATGGGCATCACATTACCCAGGGAAATGACACTCACAGAGATATGCGACTCGAGTGGTGACCTCTGGAGCTGTGCAGTAGGAGGATTGTGCTAGCAGGCCGCCTTACTCCTCTTGAGGGATGTGGGAAATAGTGACTGTATATGAGTAACTGTATTGACTCTCAAAAAACTGGAGGAAAGGGGTGCAGATACAGCTGGTAGAGGACTTGTCTAGCATATACAAAGCCACAGGTGCTGCCCACTGCTGTCACCAAATAAAGCAAGTGTCAGTGCACTTGGGGAGGTGGAGGGTCAGAAGTTTAAGTTCATCCCCAGTTGCATGGTGACTTAAGCCAAGGCGGGATGCATAAGACTCTGTGTTGAGTCAAGTGAGTTGGGGTGGAGGGGTGAGGACAGGAAATAGATCCTGGGTGGTCCAGGTCAGTTAGCTCCTCCCAGTCTTCTATAAGTCCTAGCAGAAAAAAAACTCAGAGGAATGTTCCTTGTGTTTCTTTGACTCAATGCACAGACAATTATTGCTAGGAACTGACTGCCAGGGTTCAAAGAAGTCATGATAAGATCAGGTTTCCACCTAACAATGGAATCAGCATTAACTAATAGGCGTGGGTCCAGGGGAGTCAGCCTTAACCAATAGGCGTGGGCCCAGTGGTGCCTGTCTGGGGACGAGAGGAAGAAAGTAGGACTGCTTTTCTTGGGGAAGAGAAGACTGAGGGGAGACGAGGGTCAACTGTTTTCTCAAACCTGCACGTTGGTCATACAGAAGTGACAGGCATGGGCTTGTCCCGAACTGTTGCAGAAGGTGTTGTGGGACAGACGGAGGCACACAAACAGCTAATATCTGGATGTAAGACTTCGAGCACATGAGGGATTTAAGAGTTAAGGTCTGCTATTCGGCAGGCCGAGGCTCCCTGGGACAAGCATTTCCTTTGTCTGCACCATTCTAAGATGCATACGGGAGATGTTTATGTTAATATTAAGGATATGCTAAACTTCTTCTGAACCTTATTTCATGTAGGGAATTGCTAGATTCTATGTAACTGTTAGATCCAACAAAATTCAGACAAATTTGACTTATTTTCAGGACATATGCAATGCCCTAGTTAAAAACTGATCAAGGTGACTTCTCCAAACTGGTGGTTCCCCAGATTAGCTAGCCGGCTGAATTACAAGGGAGTTTGTGTGTGCACATGAGTGCATGCAT